ATTCATACATTACATTCATACATCATTCTACAAATATCATAGCATATGCAACACAAATGCATATATCACAATCTTATTTATTTTGAGAACATCATTACCCGATGCATCTCATGCATCATGACACTGCATACAACTGACTCTTTACCTTTTTCAGGAAAGTTAGCAAGCATACAAATATCATCACCAATTTTCAACAGTTCCAGATTAATTCCTGAAACCAGATAGGGAAACTATTTGTGAACGACTGAGTGTAGATCAATTCCTAAAACAAGACAGGGCGACTATCTATAAGACCGGGTCAGAGATTAATATCTGAAACCAGATAGGACAACTATCTCAACGACCAACAAAAACAAGTTCCAGATTAATACCTGAAACAAGACAAGACAACTATCTATGGATGACTGATTGTAGATTAATACCTGTAACCAGACAGGACAACTATCTACATAAGCATATTGAAGATTAACTCCCGAAACAAGACGGGAAAACTATCTTTATTTCACAAATAGGTTAGAGATTAATTCCTGAAACCAGACAGGACAACTATCTCAACGACCAACAAAAACAAGTTCCAGGTTAATACCTGAAACAAGACAGGACAACTATCTATGGATGACTGATTGTAGATTAATACCTGGAACCAGACATGACAACTATCTACATGAGCATATTGAAGATTAACTCCCGAAACAAGAAGGGGAAACTATATGCCTTTCTCTTAGGTCAGAGATTAATTCCTGAAACCAGACAGGGTAGCTATCTCAACGACCAACATAAAAGCAAGATCCCAAATTAATACCTGAAACGAGACAGGACAACTATCTGTGAACAGCTGACTGTGGATCAATTCCCAAAACAAGATAGGGTGACTATCTACACGACCAGACGAAGCAATCTTACATGGGTTCCTTCTCATGATCTCAATATACAACCTTACACGGGCTCATCCTGAAACAATCTTACACGGGTTCCTTCTCATGATCTCCAGATGTAGCTTTACACGGGCTCATCCTGAAGCAACCTTACATGGGTTTCTTCTCCCAATCTCCAGATGAAGTTCAACACAGACTCATCCAGAAGCGGCCCTACACAAGCTCCTTCTAATACATTTCCAAATAACAGTTAATTTCATCTTCCCCAACAAGTTACTGTGAAGCCTGGATTTCAACCAGAAAACAACTAACTTTCATCTCTCCAGTCCAGAGATAATTCCGCAGTAGAGCCATGGACAACTAAAGCTCCTAGACTCTATCCCCCACAGAGTTTTCCTCAGGCGAGAGAACAACAGAAATTAACATTCCCTAGTGGAGTCCTCCTTAGACAACAGGAACATGAATCCCCACAAAGAGACTTCTTATGAATTCAACATCTACTTTGGATGGCATCTTTAAGCCCATCTCCGACAACTCACATTCATCTTCTCCAAATGGCATCTGTAAGTCCATTCCTGATATCATCAACCAACGACGTTACTTCATGCGAGTGCAAATTTCTGGGCACTCTAGTGTTCAATCATCTTCCACCTTCAGATCACGAAAGGCAGACAAGTTAATCTACATGTTCAGGTTTAAGAAGATTGAACAGGGGCCGTTGTTGCACCCCAAAATTTTCCCTCCCATTTTATTCAGGGCATGCTCATTAAGATTCTCATTTGCTCAAGGTTAACCAAGAATTGACCAGACAAATTATCTCCTTAAGCAATAGGTTTCCATCTAAAGTTTCACCTCTCACAAAGAATTTTGGTTTGCAAGGGCTTCAAATGATTTTCATGGCACCATATAGGCCTCAGCATAATGGCATAGTTGAATGAAAGAGAAGAAGTATGCATGGTAAAGTGTAGGTCGAAGGCTGAAAATATGCCTAAGGGATTTTGGGTCGAAGCAGCTTCGACGGCAGTATGCAGGCTAATTTAAAGGATCGAAGGAAGGCTAATTTGAAGGGAAATGTGAGGAGGCTTTTAAGGAGTCTTCGATTGGAAGAGATAATAAGGAGCTTCGAAGGGTTCATTTTCGAACCACTAAAATATAAGCTATTCGAAATGTCCAAGGAAGGATGGATTGAAAGAAAGCGCGTGAGGAGGTTTTTTTGAGGTCTTCGATCGGAAGAGCTAGTAAAGGCATCAGAGGGTGTTGTTTTTTAATCATGGAAATATAAGCTATTCTAAGCACTACAAGAAAAAACCTTTTGATTGACAAGTTGTTTGAATGGGCATTTTGAAAAGAAGAATATTTTGGGAATCAAAAAGCTTTTATTTTATCCAAAGAAACATGTGAAAGGCTAATGGTTCGAAGGACATGCAACCTTCAAATATGGCGTGATCGAAGGATATCTAGAAACGAGTCAACCAAATATGAGTCATCTTGTAGTTTTAGGATCAATATGCCCCAGGCATGTGCCTGAACGTACAAAGGAGTTGGGTGATCGAAGGTGCTCATAGGTTATCCTTCGATTGATGCAATACAAGTTGTATTCACCAATCAAAGGTGAACTAAGGGTCAATAAGGATGACTTGGTAAACGAAAAAAACAAAAGTAAGGATTGAAGTCAAAAATGTGTTCGAAGGAGGTGAACAAAAGGAAACTCCAAGAAAATGAAATCCAAGAGAATAAGAATGGAGTTTGACTAGGAGAATTTTCCAGGTCAAACAACTAACGTAGATGGACTCAATCGAAGGAGCCGTGAAGATGAAACTGTAAGCAAATTGAATTGAAGCCCAGAGCCATCGAAAGAAGCAATTCATATCCAATTGAAGAACAAGGCTTGAGGGCATTCAAAGGAGCCATTAGGATGAAACCGTGAGCAAATCAAATTGAAGCCTAAAGCCATCGAAAGGAGCAATTCAGAGCCAATCAAAGAATAAGGCTTGAAGGCATTTGAAGGAGTCAATATGAGAAACCTGTCCAGGTTCATTCAAAACCCAAAAGGGTAGAAAATCATCAAAAAATACAACCTTTTAAGACTCTCGATTCTGCCTTCAAAGCCATGATTAATGGCTGATTCATGCCATATTTGTTCACCATCATACTCCTATAAATACCAGACTAAATCAGAAGCAAGGGGAGATCACACGTTGCTTATTGAAGCTGCACACACACTGCCTCAGAAAGCCACACCAAAATCCTCAAAATCTTCACAAAGTGATCCAAATTGAAGCAACCTTTCCAGGCATCTTCAATCTAAAACAAGCGCTCCACTCACTATGTGAAGGTTCCGAGAGACGTTTCCAAGCACTAGGAAGGTCCAACGCACGCAAGAGCATCACTAACACAATCTCTCCGTTGGTAATTTTCTTTCGATCTCAAACTAGCTAAGTATGCAGTTTTAAATTCATATTAATCATACATTCATGTTATTGCTGATGTTTGTGATTGTTTCAATGTGTTACATACAAGTTTAAGTGCAGGGATGAGATCGTGCCATTGCTAGGACACATTTTATATCTTCCTTTGAATCTCATGATTCATGATGTTTCAAGACGAAATAACTTTTGATTCAAACTCAGGGGATTCCAACTAGGATGATGCAGCCACAGGCTGTCGAATCCAAGACCAGATTCGACCCAAATCTGAGTTTTGTTTTGTTTCTCTAACGAATTTCCTGCAGATCCAGTGTTCCCAGATCGAAGGAGTATATCATGCACCATCATTCCCCTGTTGCCAGATGATTGTCAATCCAGATCTAGTGCTCCCAAATGTGCAGTCCATCATGCACCTTCAACCAGCTTCTTTATTGGATCGAAAGGTAGCTCTGGGTCTCTTTTCGATCTGGGTCTGCATTCTACAATTTGTACCCTTTCCTTTTTTTTACTGTCTGGTCCATTTATTTTATTTTATTTTTCATTATTTTATTTCTTCTAGTTTTAATCAACATTAAAATCAAAAATCATAAAAAAAACATTAGATTTAGTATTTTCTTTTTGAATTAAATTTTGTTAATTAATTAATTATATCCAATAACATATTAATTAAATCATCTATCATAAGGTGTGAAATGGAAATCAAATTACCAATTCTTCACAGTTTCGCTGCTGTAGTTGTTTTGTGTATATGCATCATAGATGTTTGTTAGTTGAATCTTGGAAGACATAAGCATAAAATGGATGGAGCCTAACAATGGCTTTCTTGCATACTATGTAATAGTTTATTTCTTTTTGTTTCAAAAAATCTTCATTTTCGTCGGCACATAAATTCATTTGAGGCGACAGTGATGCGTGCAACACCTGATATCTGAGCAACTGAGTGTCAACTATTAATTGTTAATATCTGTATTCTTCTGTTTTTTAAGGTTGAGTGAGATGGTATTTTGTTTCTTAAATTGCCTTGAAATTTATAGGTGGATAAGGTAGTTAAACCCATGATAATTTAAGCCAAAAAAATTACACAACTTTTAAAATTATTTTCAAAGAATTAAACCCATGATAATTATTTCAATAATTTTAAACATTGTAAAATTATTTTTAACAATCCTAACATTATAAGTTGTTTTTTATTTCATTTTCTAATTTATAAAACAAATTTTACAAATCAACTATAAAATTAAGATAACTTCAAGTTGTAGTGTCAGGTAGTATTCCTGTAAAAAAAGAAATATAAGACTAGAACTTTTAAAATGCGTTACGTGTAAAATAACTTAAAAGTTTTAACATTTATTTTGGAATAAAGAGGGAGTAAATAAAATATGGAGCAATATAAGAAAGCAAAGTTCGATTTGAAAATTGAAAATCTTTGTTAAGGCTCACTCACACCGTCACCTAACCTGTCCAAACTTCAAACTGACACACACCGGTTCTCCTTATAACCGCCACAAAATCAATCTTTCTCATACACTTCAATTCCTCACCGGAAAAATAACAGCAAGCAGCGAGCCTCGCCGGCGGAGAACAACCTTTTTCAAAAAATCACCGATTCGGTTTCCGTTTACTCGCAAGCCGGACGAAATAGCTACGCTAGTGGCTGCCACGAGCTCTCAATAGTCACGTGCATTACGCAGTTACTTAGATGCCTAGCGCTAAACCGTTAAGACAGAGAAGCGTGAACAGTGGCGATAGTTTTGGGGATTCGGCGGTTACAGCCGTTGATGGCGGTTGCGAAACTGGTGCTGTAACATCAGAGACGGTGGAGCAGTTGGAGTTGAAGCGCCTCTTGACGGATGACTCGATTGGTAAGTAGAATCATTGCTTACACGCTCTTTTCAGAAGATTTAGGTGTAACAATATAAGAGGATATTTTTTTTTAAGAGGAAGAAAATTGAAGTATAAGAAAACTTACTTTTAGTCCCCTTATATCCACTTTCCTAATATTTTAGTCCTCTTTAAAAAAAAAATCTCAACTATTAGGTCTCTAATAATATTTGTCACATCATTAAAAACATTTTATTATACATTTTACATTTGTATATATATTTTTTATTTTTTCAAAAATAATTTACTTTGGAAATTTGGAAACACCACAACTGGTGGTAGAAACACCACCGCCGCCGCCAATCATTTTCTTCTTCTCCTTTGCACTCTCCGACTTACTTCCTCTTGAACTTGACCCTGCCATGTTATTATCCTTATAGAAACTACTCTTGAAAGGCGGCAGCGTCTTCGTCTCCACCACCGAAGGCAGAAAAATTCGACGGCTTTCTATTTTCTTTCCTCAATACTGCAGGGAAATCAGACACAGATTGAGCAACTATCATAAGACCCTTTTCTCCCACTAGCCAAACCACCTTGAAATTTAACCTCTTTCCTTGTTGGCGTTACAAGTTTCGGTTGTTCAATCTCAAATTTAACTTTTTTTCAAAAGACCCTCTTTTCCTATAAGCTGATCCACTTTGAAAGTTTGCATTTTTCCTTGTTGGAGCTGCAAGTTTTTGTCATTCAATCTCAAAACTTTCTTCTTGAAACCTAACCTGTTTCATTATTGCAGTAGCAATTTTTGCTGGTTCAATTTCAATCTCCAAATTCTCTTCTTGAACTTCCATCAAACACTTTGAACGCAACCTCTTTTCCCTCAATTCAGCGTCAAAAATGATATTAGGGCATCTAATAGTTGTTTTTTATTTTATTTTTAGATATAGAGGATTAAAAATGCATTTAAGTCAAAGTTATATTAATCTATGGTGGAACCCAATCAGGTAATTACGTGTAGCTAGCCACTAGGCATGGCAACAAAATCCATATCCGTGGGTACCCATCCGAACCCGTCCCGAAGTTGACGGAGAAAATCCGCTTTAACTGGGGTTGGGTTCGGATTTGGGTTTTCCCCGATTACAAAATATGGGGACGGGTCAGGTAATGGGGACACTAGTACCCACCCCAAACCCGTCCCCGAACCCGCCCGTGTATTTCATTAGGTACATTAATATTTGTTTTTTATAATTTAGAATATTAAATATGTGGCCAATGTTTTGACAATTTGATTTATATTTATCATTTGAAATATTTGAAATGTATTTATGGAATTTTTTGAGATTGTTTTAATTTATTACTTTATAATGTAATTTGATTTTGGAAAAAATAAATATTTCTATTAAAAAAATTGATTTTACTAAATGAATGATGGCGGGGCGGGGATACCCGAATCCAACCCAAACCCGTTGGGACGGGTTTGGGTTTTAATTCTCCATCCCCGTTTGGGTTTAGGGCGGGGAACGGGGATTGTTCGGGGATTCGGGTTTGGGTTTGGGGGAGGTAAAAACCGTCTCCGACCCGCCCCGTTGCCATACCTACTAGGCACTACTATTTATGCCTTTTTGATTTCAAATAAACTTTGTTGATGTAAATTTAACTTAATATTTAGTACTTTGCATCCAAATAGTCATTATTAACATATCCTAATGTGTGTTTTTCATTCAGTACAAGGCTGGAGTGTGTCGAGCGAAAATTTTCAAGGTCTAACTCATTTGTTACTGGTCATATGTTTACTTTTAGGTTCATGTTTGTGTCCAAATTTATTTGATATGACCTAGTATTAAACTATTTAAAAATATACTTTATTCAAACATATTTAAATAAATAATTTTAATTTATATTTGAATAGACTAATAAGTTAATATACCAATACGATCAATTTCTAGGAGTTGGTCTATTGGTGAAAGTTTAAATTTTAAGGGTCTGTTTGGTAAAAATAGTGGTTAACTGATAGGCTAATTGATAGCTTATAGTTTATGGTTAATGGCTGATGATGGATAATTTATAGGTTATAATTGATGGTTGAGACTGATAGCTGATAAGTTAATTGAAGTAATTTGAAAAATTAACGATTCAATTAACTTATAAATGTAAAATGACATGAAAGATATTTAATATATAATTATTTCATTTCGACTGTTATCAAACATGTCTAAATTGTCGTAAGTTGAAAATAATAATTTAGATTATTAAGTTTAAATTCTTGAATAAGTTAGTAAATTTATAAATTAATTTAAAATAAAACTTTTAGTATATTAATAATAATAATAATATAAAAATATTCACCAAACAAATAATAAAAATAATGTAAAAATATATTTATATTCATTTAAGGATGTCATTCTATTAGATTTAAATTTTCTTTTATACAACTTATAACCTAATTTTTTTAAACTAAATAGACTTCTACAAAGTTTTCTATAATTTTAAAAGAAAAAAAATTAATTTCCCTTCTTTTTGTTTTCTCTCCACCCAAAAATGATACAAAACTCATTTTCACTTCCCTTTATCTATTTTATCTCATCGTTTTCTTTTTCCCTACACAATGTGGTGTGACCGGTCTTGACTTTTTTATCTATTCATTCGTGTATTTTATTTGGTTTAGTGTTGAAGAAAATTGATTTGGAGTAAATTAAGTTTGTAAAATTGTTTTAGTTTTTTTTAATTTTTTATGTAAGCAAAATATAATATAAGAGAGAACTAAGAGTTCTTCAAACTTGTTTACACCAAGAAAATGGGATAACCCGACAAAAAGAAATTAAGAACCAATTACGCTTACGATAAGAATAACAAAGGATCTTTGTTAAACTCATAGAAGCTACAATTGAAATGAGTAATTGTTCCAGAAAAACACCATTTCTAAACCAATGTTTTTATGTACCAAATCGTATTGTTAAAATTCCAATCCCCATTCCGGAAGCAAACCTCGTTCCTAGATAACCATATTATCCAATTAGTAGCTAACCATAAAACATCCCTCTTGCCATCTTTTACCTTTTTAAGACGACAAAAGGAGTGTCATCCCATAAAATTCGAAAAACACTCATCCTCCAATCTATCCGTATTACCAACCCAACAAGCAATTTCCCTCCAAACCTTGTTAATCATACTACACAAAGAGAATATATGATCTCTTTTTTCCTCTTCTATACCACAAAAACAACAACTTTGTACATCAAAGGGAAGATTAACACCCCTATTTACTAATAGATCCTTTGTTGGCAATCTATTAATGAGAAGTCTCCATCCAAAAGCTCTTATTTTATAGGGCACTTCCGCTTTTCAAATCAATCCCAACGCCGAATCATGCCTATTAGGGGAACCTAACGGAACTCGAAATTTTGAGAAGAAATGGTAACGCGAAGCCACCGAAAAACCTTCTCCCGGATTAGGAGACCACTCCACCAAGTCCTTTCCTTCCCTACTGTAACCGAACTCTTCCAATCTCCCTTTTAATAACAAAAAATCCTCCATTAACACCGGATTATTGGCCACAATCGAGGAAAGACTGAGATCACCCCACAACCACCTTTCTTCACTCCAACCCCCCATACCCGCCACCGACACACTCTTCAAGCTAGAAGCCACATATAAATCCCGGAATAACTGCATAAAAGCTTTCTCTTCTAACCTTATCGATTCTCAAAAAGGGATAATAAAACTGTTACGAATATTGAACCTACAATTAGGAACTATGGGATCCTTGAAAGTTGTTTTGCCTAACAGCACTATATCCCGCCACCAAGTAGAGCTAAAGGAATTGATTCTACAAGCAACTCCTCCACAAAACGCTTTCATCGATAAATCTCCATATCGGACTTTCAAAACATTGTACCAAAGAGAATTTTGACCTTGAAGAATTCTCTATCTCCATTTATTAAGGAGGGCTAAATTAAAATCTTCCAAGTTTTTAACTCCTAACTCCCCTTTTTCAAAAAGAAGATTCAATACCTTCCAACTAACCCGAATGAATCTTTCTCTTTACTTCCCATCTGCCCCATAAAAAATTACTTTGAATCCTCGTAAACTCTTTAACTACCTTCATCGGTATTTTCTAAAAAGACATAGTAAAAATAGAAAGGGAATACAAAATAGACTTCAAAAGAGTTATCCTACCTCCAAGGTTTAGAAAACGATTCTTCCACCCCGCTAATCGATTCTTCATCTTAGTCAAAAGCGAGTTCCAAGTCGAAGCCTTCCTTGGATTAGAACCAATGGGAATACTGAGAAAAGAAAAATTGCTATCTTCCAACTTACAAGATAGAACAAAAGAGGCGGCTTCCAAAAAATTAGAGCTAGAATTGATGTCAATCAATTTGCTTTTGTGATAATTAATACCAAGCCCCGAAACGAGTTCAAAAGCCCTCAAAACCGTCTTGATAGCCCACACATGTTTCCATGTACCTTCCCCAACCAATAGAGTGTCATCGCAAATTGGAGAATATTGACAAGACAACTTCCATTAATGAGGAATTTACCAATTTCTCCGATTTCGATTGCCTTTCTAACTAGTCCCGCCAAACCTTCCGCCACCACAACAAAAAGAAAAGGAGAAAGCGGATCTCCTTGCCTTAAACCCCTCTCCACAACAAATTCTTTAGTTGGGCTACCATTGACTAACACCGATATTTTACTTTGAAAAACCAACAATTCCATCCACTTTCTCCATTTCATTCCAAAACCCATTCTCCTCAACAAGTAACGCAAAAAATTCCAACTCACCTTATCATACGCCTTCTCAAAATCTACCTTGAAAAATAAACAATTGCTTCCTTCTTTTCTCGCATAGTCAACCACTTCATTTACCACCACTACACCATCAAGCAATTGCCTACCGGAAACGAAAGCACTTTGACAAAGAGATATGATATCGTTCAAGACCCTTTTCATTCTCCCCACCAAGAGTTTGGCTAAAGCTTTATACAAACAACCAACTAAACAAATAGGTCTATAACCGTCCAAACAAAGAGGAGTAGCGGATTTCGGGACCAAAGTCAAGAAAGAAGAAATAACCGCTTTTGAAATTTCACCCCCGGAATGGAAGCAATGAAAAAACCGCACGAAGTCATCTTTTAGAAAGAACCAACATTTTTTTAATAAATTTTATCTTTTAAGTAGAATCAATTCTAGAAAGGATAATCAATTCTACATGGGAGCAACCAAACATATCAAAATCAATTCTACACATCCATAATCAATTCATATCAAAATCAATTCTACACATCCATAATCAATTCAAGATGCTCTGAACGTGAAACCAAACATGCTCGAACTGGTAATAACCACTAGAAACACGCGTAAACAATTGTGAGGTGCAGAGTTCGAACCGTTGTCTTGGCTTCTCCATAGAGGAAATCCAAAATTAAGGCATGTTTGTCTTTTTTATAAATATAAAATGCTTTAGAATATGGTTAACAAAATTGATAATAATTATGTAATCTTCTGTAGAAAAAATATCAAAAGAAGTATCTCTAGTTTTTTTTTTTTTTGAGAAGCTAAAAAAATTAGCTTCATAAAGACTTAGAAAAGCTATTTCATAAAATACTCTTGTTAAGCTTAAACTAATGACCTAAATATAAGGGATTTCCAATCTCTTTCTAGTTGGTTGTTTCTTGGCAGTCAAGTAAAAACTGAGGTGAATTCATGTTTTTTAGCTCGTTGCATGGAAAATTGATGTGGCTTATCGTTATTCGTATGTTTCATCTGTTTATCCATCTATCTAAACTAATCAATACTCTGTAGTGCTTATTATTTTAAGAAGCCTATTGCCTTTATTTTGTGTCTTATTCTGCTAAGGAATTTATGGACATGTTTTCAGTGACAGTGAAGAAATCACCTGTTGCATACTTCTTGGAGAAAGTTGGCAATGGAAATTCTTTATGGAACACAACAACTCTTGGGGATGAAAAAGGAAGAGAACGGGTTTATGACACTATCTTCCGCTTGCCATGGAGATGTGAATTGGTATTTGGTATACTTGTCTTTTCTTGTTTGCAGTTCTAGATGTTGTAGATGGGTATGCTCCAGTGTTTAGTTGCTAGAATTTTCATTCAAACTTATCAATTGATCAGAAAAAAAATATAATGTAGGCGTTTTGGGGGAAGGATGTAACCCGAAGCTATTCATTTACTGTGAAATAGTTACTTAAGAATTGTGTTTGTGTATTTCTGTTTATGCATTCTACTTTTTATGTCATGGTATCTCAAGTGCTGAATTCATTTGCAGCTTATAGATGTTGGCTTCTTTGTCTGTTTCAATTCCTTTCTGTCGTTGTTAACTGTGATGCCAACAAGGGTGGTAATGATCGTTTGGAAGCTTCTGAAAACAAGGTTTGCCACCTTTCTTCATGATCTGTCATAATACTTTGATGTCATTCAGTGCACCTGTTAGGATTTTGATGATATACTTATCCCTTTGCATCTTTTTGTTTAGTTTAGAGTTTTCACTTGAGCTGTGAGCATTTAGTTCAATTTTGTATTCAATTTCCAAAGTTGTATTAAATTTATAAAGGAAATTGAACATGGTTCGTTTTTGTTGACTCGTAAAAAGGATTTAGATTGGTTTAATGAGACAATCTACCCTGATTTTGTGTTTACCAAAAAAAGTTGAATCTATCACATACTTAATGATATGGTCTGCTAATTCATGTGCTTTGATTTGTTGGCTCTTCTACTAATTCTCATGTTTAAAAAATTTGGTGGTGATTCATGATTTCAGTTTAATTATTTAATTAATACTATCAACATGACCTCGTCATGCTCATGGCAGGAAGTTCAAGAGGCTGTCTCCAGTTGAATTGTCGGATTTTGGCTATTTTATTATTATGGCTTGTGGAATCACTGTTTTGCAGCAAATAGGTTTAGTTCCATATACATATTTCTGTTTTGAATTATCAGGTTGTTTCTTATACTGAAATTGGTGTTATGCTCACCACTCCTAATTTTTTGTTGTTTTAGATATCAGCTTCATATATCATATAATCCGTGGTCAAGCAACAATCAAACTGTATGTGATCTACAACGTCTTAGAGGTGAGCATAAATTAACCCTTATCCAAATTTTACTCAGTAATTTGCTCTCCTTTCATACCAAATATTTGGACTCCCCTATTATAGATATAGAGCAATAAGATTGTTGAACAACATGATATATTCCGAAATATGAAAGAATGGAATTTTGCACTGTGAATCATGAAAATTTGTGATGAAATGCTGTTATTTTTGGAAACTAATATCTATGATTTCTCCCGATATATTTTGGAGGGGAAGATTCAAAGCTTTGGAGGGCCAAGTCTATGTTTTAGTATATAGTTGATATTTTAAATAAGTTGAAAGAACAACATGATACATGAGCTTATAATACCATGTTGTTCTTTTAATTTTTTTAAAGTATAGACTTAACCTTCTAAAGCCTTCCCCTCCGAAAATCAATTCACAAACACACCCTTAGTGGTATGAATTGATACTTATATTGTTACTCGTTCTTGAACCTTTTTGCAGGTATTTGATAAATTATGTCAAATTTTTAATGGGGATGTGTTGCAAATGTTATTTTATTCGGCCGAAGAACTTGGAAGGTGTCCTTCTGAAACACGGAGTATGAGACTCTGCATTTGGAGATTTATTTCGGACCAAATTTTAGCTGTTGTTACAACAAATATCCTTTTTTCTCTAGGATGATATCATGATAGTTTTTTTTTACCTGTATTAGTTCTCTATGTTGGGTTAATTTCCTTAACTAGTCATACTTGTTCATTCTTTTATTTTATTAGCTCAGGCAATTACTTTATCAGCCTGCATTGTTGCTCACTACAATGCACTGCCAGCTCTGCTGGTGTCAAATAATTTTTCTGAGATCAAAAGCTACGTGTTTAAGGGATACAAAAAGGACAATATTCATAGTATGGTGTACTTTGGTGAGTTATCTTTCCAACAACATTTGGTTTTCATTCTGTTAGTAGCGTATTTGTACTTTTTTTTAAATTAATTTTAAACATGAAAAAGGGCCTTAATACCCTGTTTCATTGGCTAATTGTTAGGATACAATTTAAGTGAATCCTCAGAAGCTAAAGTCTTCAAATTATCTCCCAAATTTGAAATCTCAACTATCGATAATGATAATCCAGTAAAATTGCTTAAATGTTATACAACTTGAATCTAAAAATAAATCACCTTCTTTTGTTCCATTGCTTTCAAGTTTCAACTGTACTCTTGTGCTACATAATACAGTTGCTTCTAATAGTTTCTATACATTCGATAAAATGCATGTTCTGTGTTTCATGTTTCATGTTTAATCTTATTTATATTGTCCTTTTCATATTTGGTCTATGTTATTTTCTGTTCGTCCCTTTTACTTATTGCTGACAATCAGATTCAATTGAGAGATTCCACATCTCAACATTTATCTTATTCGTTCTGGCTCAAAATATTCTGGAGGCAGAAGGCCCCTGGTTTCAAAGCTTTCTCATTGTAAGATTATTCGGAACTTTATGGTACCTAATATATACTACTCCGGTCTCGAATATAAGAAAAAAAGAAGTCAAATAAAGTTCATGTATTTGGTCAAAATCCAGATCAATTTCCTTTGTTGTCTCAGTTTTTGTTAGCTCAGAGCTATTTTCTGTGGTGCAGAATATGTTTTCGGTTTATCTATGTGAAGTGGCTATTGATGTTATCAAGCATTCGTTCATTGCTAAATTCAACAACATCACTCCGATTGCATACTCTGAGTTCCTTGAAGCTTTATGCAAACAGGTATTGTCATTTGATTTCAGGTGGATATTAGCTGTGCAGTATAACTAGTATCACTGCTTAAACGGTATAATAGCTGGAACCACTTTTGCGTAATATTGTTTATTTTAGACTAGTAGTTTTAAAAACTGAAATTTTCAGTGGATTAAGTGAATATTACTTAATTGAAAACACCGTCCATAGCTCAATTGCAAATGCTTTGTATTTTTTATCTAATCTGCAGAATGTGTTGATCAGCGAGGGAGTATGGACTCTTTTGTTCCTAATATTTTTTATTAGCCTGCATGGATGTGTACTAAACTAACCAAACATAAATATAATTCAATTTGTCAAAATCATAATTTTGTAAAGGTTTCTCTTATAATAGAGTGTGTATAGACATGTATTTTTGTGAAACAGAAAACAACAATGTTAGTCCAACATTTTAAATTTGTTTTGTATTAGGACCAGCAATTTGCAGTGACATTTTGTCTATTTTCTTTAATGCATCATTTCAAATACATAACTGCGATGTTTTTTATTCTGTAGACTCTACATATGCAAACTGAGGATGTAAAGAAAGACTTGAAATTTGTCCCACTTGCTCCAGCGTGTGTGGTGAGATTGAAATCATTTTAGGGCATGTCTGGAAGGATATGGCGGGAAAGGGAAAGAAAGGTTAATGTTGTCTGGAATGATTATAAAGTCATATGAATATACTCATTCTATTCCTTTAGTTTTGAAAGACAAATTACCAAATGTCCAAATATGATTATTTATTTAGAAGGGGAAAAATTACCATTCATTCCCTTCCTTTTTCCTTTCCCTTCAAGGTTCTCCATCCAAACATGCCTTATATATTAATTATTACCCTTTTTGATTTATGCCTTCTGATTTGATGCCTTTTTTCCCTTTCTTTTTCTAAGGTCATTCGAGTTGTAGCCCCGGTATACGCTGCTAATCTTCCTTTCAGTCCCCTTTCTTGGAAGCTTTTTTGGATTATGCTATTTTCAGCGACAACCTACATTTTACTCACTAGCCTCAAGATTCTAATTGGCTTGCTTCTAAAGAAACATGCCACTTGGTATGTTAATCGCTGTCAAAGGAGGAAGCATCATCTTCATATAGATTAATTCAGAGAACTACTAGTTTGATGCACTCTGCTGTTAAAGGGTTCCCTTGCTTGTGCCTGAAAATTACGCAGGGAAACAATTTCTTAAGAATTGTGTTGGGGGTGATCAGCAGCACTTGGCAAGTACGGAACAACTTCATGTTCATCCAGAAAAGGTTTTTGAATCTGCAGGTGAGCCAGAGGCTAGTGGGTGGAACTGGAACTTCTTCCTTTGCAGTTTTCGTTAGCAGTAAGCCGGTTTTCCAAAAACAGGAACATAAAGTTATGAGTTGTGCATTATGGCTGGCATCCATTTGGACTTCCAACATTCAGATACTTCTGAAACTCTGTACTTTATGCGTTGTATTATGGCTATAATCATGCAAGAATTCTTTGACATGAAGCATGTGAAATATGGTAAATTTAGAAGAAATATATTGTTGCCTCTGGGAGAATGGAATCGAAAATATGAACACTATATATTGGTGATGGGACCTGAGCTTTGATTGTTTGAATAATTAAGGAGGTACGTACATTGTGTTGTTTGTAATTATAGAATCCATCATTTTCAGCTGATATCATTCTCAAAATCAGTGTGGAATGGAGCTCTATGGAGGCAAGGATAAAAACCGGCAAACATTAGCATTAAGTAGTAAGCACACTTTTTAAAGGTCATTGCCAATATCCAGAAGTGAGGTATATGGTGCACGAGTCATTTCAACCTTTTGGATTTATTTATAACATTATAGCCATAAATTGAGAAATTAATATGTCACCTTCTAAATTAAATAGATTATCTCTCGGTTTTTTTATTCCACTTTTATTTTTGGATGAGATGTACACTATTTTTAGACAAATTTTGATAGAAGGATTGAAAATTTTAGTATCATCTAAATCTCTGGTACACTTCTACAAAAATTTTGGTATGGGAAAATTTTTGATAGTGTATTTAAAATATTTGGTAATTATAAAAATATGGTGTTTGTATCAGCGGGAGACACTTCATCAATTCGCTCAGCAACAACCTCCTGCACCACAGACTCCACAATGTATTCCTTAACTATCGGTTCCATAATAGGAACAGGAGTATGTACTTTCTCAGTAGGAGTCTGTACCTTCTCAGTAGGAGCTTGTATCTCCTCAGTAGGAGTTTGTACCTCTCTGTAGGAGCATGTACCTTCTTAATAGTGGATACTCTAACACCTCGACGGCGGAGTGCGTGGAATTGCGTTTGCTGCTCAGTCATCTGTTTCTGATGAGAATCAGTTGGAGGGCGGCGTCCAGCTCGTAGCTCTGAAGCCTGTGCCTCGTCATCCTGGACTTCAGCGTCAGCTCTATCAGTGATCTGTTCCACAATAGAATCATCTATGCCTCTAGTTCTCACTGCAAAATAAGAAAATATTAGAAAAATATAAACTATCGGAAATTTCTAAATTTCTATATTTTAAAAAAAAAATTTGAACTGTCCAAAATTTTAAAATTCCCGGTATTCTACGACGTATCGGAAATTTCAAATTTTTTGTATAAATGATAAATGAAAATACCAGATATTTTAAAATTTTTGGTATAAAATATCAAAAATTTCACAAATATACCGTAAATTCTTACTTGTTCATGAAATTGTAAGGTGCAGTGGCAGAAAAAATGCAGAAATTATAAATGGAGTGAAATTTGTACTCAACAATGCAACAGTACAAATACAATTTAAGATGCCAATAGGAATGGCTAAGCCAATTGTAGTAATGAATACATGGAATTAAAAGAAGGATCTAGAAAAGCTAAAGCTTCAGGAAAAGAAGAGAGTCAGATTTCCACCAATTAATTCCGCCCCCAATCATTGGTGATTCCTCCACTATTTAACAAAGTCACCCACATACTTTCTGTTAGGAATTTTGGCTCTCATTCCACGTCCTTGCTCCTGGAAATTAGGATCGTGTGTCAAGTGTCCCTCCTTATCACAAGAATTAGTTACTGAAATGACTGATTTGCCCTTGTTCATAACATTACTCCCCTCATTAAGAATAACCTTGTCCTCAAGGTTGAAATTGGGATAATAGCATTGTGTAAACTCACTGCTGACTTCCCATGTAGCTTCAGACATAGGAAGATTGGACCATTTGATTAAAACCTAAGGTATCTCTTTGCCATTTTGCAACAAAACTCTAGAATCCAACATTGCTTCTGGTTGCAATATTGGGCCAACATCAGTGGTCAGCAATGGTAAAGGCATATATTGCTCCTTGTGATCTCCCTTGCACAACTTTAAATTCACAATATGAAAGACAGGATGGATTCGAGCAGAGGGAGGCAACAGTAATTTATAAGCTACAGACCCAATCTTTTGAATGACAGGAAATGGTCCAAAGTATCTCATACCTAACTTCTGATTTTGATGTAAAGATATGGAGTGTTGTTGATATGGCTGAAGCTTAACCAAAACCATATCCCCAATTTGTAACTCAGCAAACTTCCTCTTGGCATCAGCATATTTCTTCATAATTTGTTGCGCTCGATTGAGATTAGTCTTGAGAAGTTGGAGAGTAGTATCCCTTTCAGTCAATAATGCTTGCAGAGAGGGTGGATCATTGGATGATGTATCATACTTGAGTAGTATAGGAGGATCTCTACCATAAACAACTTTGAATGGGGTCATGCCAATGCTGCATTGATAAGAAGAGTTGTACCAAAACTCTGCCCAATCTAACAATTTAGACCATCGCTGAGGCATTTGTCCTGCAAAACACCTGAGATACATTTCCACACTTTTATTAACTGCTTCCGTTTAGCCATCAGATTGTGGATGATAGGCTGAACTCATTGCCAATGTAGTTCCACTAGCTTTGAAAAGATGCTTCCAAAAAGCACTTGTAAAGACTTTATCGCGGTCAGACACTAAGCTTTTGGGAAATCCATGCAGCTTGATCACAGTGTGTAAGAAGGCCTCAGCAACCTTAACACTAGTGAAATCAGATCGTAAGGAAGTGAAATGGGCATACTTTAAAAGTCTATCTACCACGACCATTATCACCGTAAAACCATTGGAAAAAGGAAGTCCCGTGATAAAATCCATCGAAACATCTTCCCATATTTGCGAGGGAATAGGTAGGGGCTGCAGTAGGCCACTAGGAGCTGTATTGGCAGACTTAGCTTGTTGACAGACTAAGCATTTGGAGACAAACAGACGGACATCACGCGATAAAGAAGGCCATGTGAATTGAGAAGCAATACGCGCTTTGGTACGGGCAATACCAGCATGACCTCCCAACATGGAAGAGTGAAATTCCTGCAAAATGGATTGGACAAGTGCAGCCTTAGGAGGGACCACAATCTTATGCTTCCAATATAGAATGTCTTATCTCACTTGGTACAAAGGGTCTGTATTAGTACCCTGCATACATTGGGCTTTGATCGCTGACAAAGACGGATCAGCATTGATAACAGAATTGATAACTGACAATAGCGGATTGATCGGTCCTGAAGATGCCATAAAGAAGGACCGAGATAGAGCATCTGCAGCTATGTTATCCTTGCCCGGCTTGTACTCTATAGTGAAGTCAAAGCCAAGAAATTTATGCAGCCATTTCTGTTGCTCCGGGGTTTGGATTGCCTGATCGGTGAGAGCCTTTAAACTCTGTTGGTCTGTGCGGATAATAAATGTATTGCCCAGTATGTAATGCCTGAATTTGGCCATGGCTTATGTTACAGCACAGAGCTCTTTGACATATGCTGATTTTGTCTGCATAGAGGGATTGAGCTTCTTCAAAAAATAAGCAATATGGTGCTTATCTTGACTAAGAATGGCACCGATCCCTGTCCCCGACGCATCAGTTTCCAAGATAAAAGGTTTGGAAAAATCAGGTAGTGCTAAAACAGGGGCGACCGTGATGGCTTGCTGCAACGCAAGGAAGGCATCAGTGGCAGAAGGAGTCCACTCAAAGGCATCCTTCTTCAATAAAGCAGTCAAAGGGGCAGCAATGGTGGCATAGTTTCTGATCAATCTTCTATAATAACCCGACAGCCCCAAAAATCCTCTTAGTTGCTTCAAATTTATTGGGATAGGCCAATCCAGTACAACCTTTACCTTGTCTTTATCCATATGGACACCTTTATGAGAAATAGTGTGACCCAAGTAATCAATCTCAGTAAAATCGAAACAACATTTGGACCTCTTAGCAAATAAGGAATGCTGACGCAGGAGCTGGAGTACTTCAGACAAGTGAGCTAAATGAGAAGACCAAGAGGGGCTGTATACCAAAATATCATCAAAAAACACCAAAACTGTCTTTCTTAGTTAGGCCTGGAACACATGATTCATGAGGCACTGAAATGAGGCAGGAGCGTTTGAGAGTCCAAAAGGCATGACTAGCCATTCATACAAGCCTTGGTGTGTTCTAAAAGTTGTTTTTAGTGTATCTTCTGGTCTTACTAGTATTTGATGGTACCCTGAGCGAAGATCCAACTTTGAAAAATAATGAGCACCATGGAGTTCATCTAATAGTTCATCAACCGTAGGGATGGGAAAACTGTCCTTGACAGTGATAGAGTTGAGAGCGTGATAATCAGTACAAAATTGCCATGAGCCATCTTTTTTTTAACTAGCAAAACAGGGGAAGCAAAAGGGTTGTTGCTAGGTTGGATAATACCTTGTTCCAACATGTCTTTAACCATGGTCTCTATTTGTGCTTTCTGACTGTGGGGGTACCTATAGGGTCGTACCTTGACTGGGTTACTACCTTCCACAAGGGTAATAGCATGATCATGGAACCTAGCTGGTGGTAATGACTTAGGTTCAACAAACACATCATTATAATTGTGTAAAAGTGTTGTAATGTCAGGGTGCAAATCATGATCTAAAGTAGTATCTGATGGTACAACTTTATCAAATTGCAAGGTAAAAGCTACATCAATAGCATGAGTGTGGTTCAGTCGTTTGATGTGATGGAACTGGGCTAGGCTTGTACCACTAGGTTTGTCTCCATACAGTGTAACAAAAGTGTCCTTGACATAAAACTTCAAGGATAAAACATTGTAATCCGCAATATGTGGTCCCAAGGTTTTTAACCATGGTACACCCAAGACTAAGTCTGCACCTGAAATCGGCAACAAATAAGCAGGAACATGGAGGGTATTACCCTGAATGGCTACTGGTAAATCAGCTATATAGCCCATAGTAGTCAAAGAATGGCTATTACCAACCAATACTTGAAACTGAGCGTTGGACTGAATTGGTAGTTGTAAGGATTGGGCAATCCTAGGCTGCAAAAAATTATCTGAACTCCCACTGTCTAAGAGAACAGTCACCGCAATGCCTTGTATTTGACCTTGAAAGCGCATGGTTCCCATCCCGTGAGAACCATTTAAAGCGTTCAGAGAGAGGT